TATCTAATAAATAATTAATTGATTGTACATTAAATTAAATTAGAGTCTTTAAGAATGTCAATGGCTTAAAATTAAACAATTTGTAATTTTAATTACATTGCTATTAAACAATAAAATGTTAAAGACATGTTAAATACAAGTGGAGAAATATCAGTTTAGTTATCAATATATTTTCCAACATGTACACAACTAAACAATATAAACATAAAGAATTAAAACTCCTATTTTTACATCAATTTCAATTTTGAATTTTAATCGAGCATTGAATATTTTAAAAATATGAAATGTTCTTGAATGTAATTACTAATATACATTGATTATTTATTATCACAAATAATATAATATAACCCAGGGTAAAATTATTCATCTATTCAGRTAAAATAATCTTCTGTAAAAGTAAACTGATAAGCACAATACCAAATTATATTTAAAATAGTAACTAATCAAAAATACAATTTTTAGTAAAATTTGTTGATTTTAACTTAAAACAGTTTGTTGCATCTATAACTCAGAAACAAAAATAAGACATTAAAATATAGAATATAACATTGTATTAAAYACAAACAAATAATAATAACTCTTAAATAAGAATGATTAAAAAAACTWATAGAACCATCAACAATCAATTACARCTATCATATAATTAATTTTAAAATGTTTATAATTAATGTAATAGTGCATTTAAAGGTCTTTTTTGTTGGTATCAGATGTCTCAAGTGATTCTTCAGTAAATTTTTCATTCTTGGAAGCCTTGATGTCTGCTTGATCCACCGGTGATTTAATGTTTTTATTAATGCACGGGCAGGATGATAGTAATGAACAGACTTGATCATTGTCAGCGTTATTTTGGTCTTCAGAATTTTCTACTGGTCTCCTGAACCAGTTTAACATGGGCTTAATAATACCCCATAAGAAGAGTAACAATGGCACAAGCACACACGGAACACAAACCATTATTAAAGGATTTGATGTCTGGTTAAATCAACTGAAACATATGAATTATATTTTTAATAAAAAAAAAYTYGGGAAGTCTCTCAGCTATATAGTAAGTGTTGAGAGTACATTGCCATAGARTAGTTCACTACAATAGTACAATGGATGTATTAAATTWAAATTAATAATAAATAATTACTTAAGAAAAAAGTGTATTAACAGACAATTTATAATATTTATTTGATATTTATTATATCAAATATTTATCATAACATATTATACATATTTTCAATGGCGCTCAGCCCTGTTACTAGGTGTAGTGACCACTACACCTTGAAAATAAGAGGTAGGTGGGTATAATAACAAAAAATAATTAACTTGAAATATGTTCATTGTTTAGTATAATATTGGTTGGTACCTATTTACTAATATTATCAATTGAAATATGATAATATGTATAAAATAATAAAGAATATAATTTGAGTTTGCGAGAGGGTGAGAGGATGGGTAAAATTATTTCTTGCTACACCTGAAAAATATACCTTGGACTCCACTGCTATAATACTGACATAAGAAATATAACTTCTATTAATAATATGACAGGTTAAACTTATTTTTGTTAAAACAGATTGTACATATAATAGAACAATACTATTATAATACTATTATTTCATGTTTTCATATACTACTGGGCCTAGTGGTGGTTTTTTAAATTGTATCTACTCAATACAATTTGAAAATTATACTTTATATTTTAGTTGCCATKTTAATTATTAAACTGTTCCACTAATATACTACCCAATACCTATTTAGGAGGGGTTAACACATTGTATTATATTTTTTTTTTTTAACTTCATAAGAATAATTCTCGAGCTTAGTGGAATAGTTAAATTTTTCTAACTATTTTTTTTTTCTAAATAAAGAATTACTTTCTACAGGCCGCATCTGTATTTATATTAACTCAGATATTTAATTTCACATCAAATAATCTTATAGTTTAATTTGCAAAAAATGCTTAAAATTGTATTATTTTTGAAGATACATAATAAAGTTTGAGAATAAAATATTAAAATACGGTTATTATCATTTCAAAATATATAGTTTCAAAAAGATCATAACTTACTTAAAAATGATGATATTAAAAAAAGCTTACGTGGGGCTCTAGATTAGCTGTTCTAAACCATTGGTCTGTAGAAAAAAGAACAGGCCTGTGTGATATTGGAAAACTATTTCATTAAATATTGTTTTTTAATTTTAAATTGTAAGTCTTTTATAAATATATATTTTTTTTAATTGATACACCGGTATTGTTATATTGTTATATTTTGTTGTATTTATTCAAATTTATATAAAAAATGCTTTAACTTTTTATTAAATTTAATACATTAATCTGCAGGAAAAACTAAAAAAATGAACCAAAACACAAAGTGGTCCTACTTAAAAGCAATCTAGGTGGTCTGCGACAGAAAATTTTTGAAACTCATTGTTGAAACTGATTGACAAAAATTTGATATATAATTYGAGCATAGGCGTAATCTGGGGGGGCAAGAGGGGGCAACTGCCCCTCCGGATATTTTATTGAGGGGGCAATAGTATCGTTTTGCCCCCCTTTAAAAGTTATAACTTATAATTCAATTTCTATTTTATCATATCAAAATTAAACAGCATAATGGTTTGTTTAGTAATTAATAATGATAGATTTATCTTTTCGTCTTTTTGAGTGCCTTTTGAGATTATTATTTATTAATRGTATCATTATAAACCGAGCGCCTTCATATCGTAATACAAGGAATTGCAGATAGATGACAGTGATGGCATGGCGGGTTATTAGTTATTACCACAATAGCACAATGCGAACTAAGATTAGTTATATATATGCATTTTTAGTTTAACTACTGCTTGCCCCCCCCCCAGGATTGACTCCAAGTTACGCCACTGCATTCGAGAATAAGACGAAGATAATGCATGCAGATGTAACATCCTCTAATAAGTCAATACCCAAAGTACTATGGAATAATGGAGTGATGATTGATGATAAAAATAGCTAGAAATCAATCTAAAAATTTGGAAAATTGCATTGAGTATAGAAAATTATAATATATAAATATAAATTAGGTATTAGACATTTTTACTAATGACTTCCCAAAGTATCAACTACATCCAATTTGAAACCAGAAAATGTTGGAGATTTCTCTATAAGTTTAAAATCAAAGTTATTTTGCTGCCGACCTTCCTAAGATTATTAAGGTTAGATTATGCCTTACAAGTTATGATGACACACAAAAAAAAAATAGAAATTATTATAAAAACAATAAAATCATTGATCTACTTAGATTCTAAAATACTTAATAAATACAATATACAGAAGCAATATATGATACTGTAAATTTTATTGTATGCATAGAGGTTTTAAAAAAAGTTCAATATATTATTCCGTGTACTTTTCTTAACGTTTTAGTTGCATATTGATTTTTGTAAATTTTAATAATTGATTTCCGGAAATTCCCCATAATTAGATAAAAATTTGGAAAAAGTTATATCAAAAACACTAAAACACATAGCTTRYAACCAAAATTATGATGTAGTATATCACTATAAGTACCATATCCATTATCCAGGATTTTTATTCGGAGGGTGCTACAATAATTTATTGTTGCTAGGGCTAGGTTGTTACCAATACTAACGGGTGTAGTAAGTTTGGTATTTCAGGGAGGGGGGCTTAAGCCTTAAGCCTCTCTATTTACTCTCAGTCAGATATTTTTAAAGAAAATTCTTTGAATTCTCATTTAACCTAATTAATTTCTTAGATGTTATGCATTACATTATTTTTTGTATTTAATTATGAAATTGTTAATTTAATTAAATTAATTTATAACTTAWAACTTTATAGTGCACTTCTTTCTCTGTTATATAATGAATTTAATAAATATAAAATAAAATAATTGTTGTCACATAAGTATCAATGAATTTTACAAAAAAAAAAAAGAAAAAAGGTTAGGCACTCAGATTTATACTACCCRAGCTAAAAAAATATCATCTTCACGTCTTGAAATAATTGTATTTATAATTGTCTTATAAAATAATAATWATTATTATTTGTTCTTCAAATTATAACATTTAGGTACATCAAATTACATAATATATTAACTATTTAAGAAAAAACCCTTAAACCTTTCTAAGAAAATAATGTGCAATACACGTCATTATACCAGGTAAAATATTACTATTACATGTTTCTGAAACATCGCCTAAAAGCTAAAGCACTTGATCAGTCTTTCAAACACCTAGTGCAGAGACTAATTACATACATTTCAAAAAGAGCATATTAAGATTTAATTTGATTTAACAATATTTAATTACACCTTACAATTCAATATACACTACAAGGTGTTGGAATAATGGATGCAATAATTAATGTCACTAAGATTACTGTGAGATACTGATTTGGCAATTGAATAGAAAGCTTTTGTAACAATATTATGATAAATATGTTGTATGCCAATATCAAATATTCTTTGAATAGATAAGACTTWGCTTAGAAGTTCAAATAAAGAAATAAGTTATATTATAAAATGTAATATAGGTAATCAAATACTTTTATTTTATTACTTTCTGAAATGATTATTCTAAATATTTTACAAAACTTGATTCTGAGCTCGTTTCTCATCTTATAACTTATATAATAATATGTGATACAGTCAAGGAGATAAATAACATAATATAATGTCCTCTATAATAAGTATAATTATTACAATATTTTCATATTGATAAATATTTCTTAGAATCAGTGCATCTTTAACAATTTTTACATGCAATCGGATATTAATAAATATATAGGTAATTTATTATTATGTCATAATAATATTGACATCTTACATGGATTGTAATACCATTATATATTATGTGTGCTGTTTGATTTGCATGCTTTGGAAAATACAGAGAGTGTAGRTTACAATATGTGTGTACATAATAATTATCTTATGATTTTATTTTAAAGAAAAAACCGCTCTACGGTGAAAATCAATGGTAGGAAGGACTTACCAAATGTAAACAAAGAATCACAGACAGTWATGTAGCTCAACGGTAGACACCAACACCAGAAGGGGACACTTGCTACTTTTGAGACGACTTATAAATTGTAATATTGATTTTTGTGCTCTATAGGCAATAAATACAGTAATAATAATAATATTTAGCTTAGTATTTACCAAAAACAATAGTCAATTGTGTATTTATGTGTAATTAACTTTGCTATTATTTTCCCGTTTCCCCGTGAACGAAATGATAATGGGCTGATAAGGGAATTGATATCAGACGTAGGTTATTATAATGATAATAACAATAATAAATTAATAACAACAACAATAATATTTTAAACTCGCGACGCGGAATTTTCATAGACGATAGACTTCATACTTCTCTACAAAAACTTAAAAACTGTTTATAACAACAACAATGTTAAACTTTTCAGTTACCAGTCACTTATTCTATGCTATAATCATAGTRTAGGTATAAATAAACTCAAATAACTTATTAGAGAAACTTATAAGAGAAGCCCTGAACAAATAGATAAATAAATTAAAAAAATTATAGTTGTTTTATACATTATATTTTATATATAAGGTACATTGGTRTTTTTATTRATATTATACTCATCGGCGCACAGCCTCCCTAAATATTTTAGCCTTTTACCCCGATBCCACCATAAAAAAAAATCGAAACTTTATTTGAAATGTTATTCGTTTTAATAATCTGTTCATWTTTTTGAAAATTGTTAAATTATATTTTACCAACAAAAGGTGYTAATGAGGTATCATTATTTTTTGAATTTTKATTTGCTAATTATTTCTATTTAACTAGGTAATTTTGTTAAAATTGATTTTTTCTTAGGAATACTAATACTTTCAAGTATTAGAAAATATACATTTGCTCTTCAATTATTCATGCTACAAAAATGTCTGTCTGTAATTAACATACAAATAAACAATGATAAGAGAAGACGGCAACTCTTAGAAAAGTGATAMATTTTATCGACAGTATCATTGCTTCTATTGAAAATTTAAGAAAATTTGTAGAGTTTTCTGAACTTTGAATATCATCGTTTTAGAATGAACATAACATATTGATTGTAATTTCATCTCTAAGTAAATATTAAATATTTGATATAGGTACAGATACCAAATTAAATTAATGATTCAATATTATGTTTATTACTGTCTAAACATCTAAAATTATATTACAATATTCATTCATAAATGACACTATAATTAATAATATATTATTTTGTATTTGAATTTATAGTTTCTAATGAGTAATGGATGTGTCTAAAGAATTTCATAATTCAGAAATGACAGTTGCAAAAAATGTTRTATTTCAAAATATTGGTTCTGATGTAGTGATCGTGATATTAACATAGAAGATGTTACCTATAAGAGTTTTGTCAGAAAACCAAACAATTTTCTCTATTTGCAAAATACCATTTATAATATCATTGACTACATTAACTTTACTAATCAGTTCGACTTCTTCTGAAAGAAATTTCAGTGCAATATTTCACTATTATAGATTTTGTAGCCCCCGTAAAAATTTAAGCAAATTTCTACCTATGATTATACAATATTATTAGTATAGTCCATATATATAAGTATACAAAATATTACAGGAAAACCAGACAAATAAAATAATTTTGTTCAAATAAATATTTTTTATTTTTTTTTTTTTTTTGTACATATAATTTATTGATTCTTGAAAAATTAACTAAATACCAGAATTGCGTATGTTATTATATTACACACTACCTATTCTCCAAACAATAACGGTGAGCAAATATTGCAATCGTTGGCGCAAAATGTGAAAACCGCACACCGTATCATGTATTCTAAGTACCTACATATTGTCATTCATGGTACAACTGAGTTTCGAGTCGATGACTGACGTTCGAAAAATTTCGCCATTTCAGTTATAACTTCACAAGTTATGACTAATTCGATGAAAATTCGTACTTAGTATTGAACGAATAATGAATAGATAAATATYTGTATGTTGTGTTTTGTATCACTTGGGCACTTGTCAATCGTCAAACAAGACGCTATAATATGTATATTGTACATTAAAATTTAAAACGATATTGTTTCATGGTTTTGGTCGGACGTAAACTTGCACACTGCGTAATGCGCATGTCACAGATATTTATTAAAGAAGGGAGTTTCATATAAGAACATTACGGTAGAGTAGACATCACTATACAATATACATGACTACATCAGTTCAGCGTGCGCCGTGCCGTTGTGTTCAGTCATCGTATAGCCCTTGTCAGTTGTCGCTGACGTGTGACGTTAGTTTGCGTCGCCGTCAGACATTTTTTTTTTGTTTCGCCGGCTCCACGGGTTTCAATAACGAGACAACGAATGCTCCACACCTTCTGCTATTATCTATCTACAGGTATAATATAATATAGGTACTAATAAACGTAAGTATTAGAATTTATAGCATAGGTATTCGGTTCTATTGATTCGCGACACGGCGTGTTTGCGGATCGAAATCTAGACGGGTAAATATAATAATATTCTAGAGCTATTATACTACACTATTTCATACTCCTTTAAATGTTGGTGAGCGTTCTTTTTTCACGTATTGATTCTAGGGTATCATCATGTCTGGGAATCCGGATAGCAGTAGTAAGATCGTGAAAATCAACACGAAAAATGTCTACAAGATATTTGGTAATTTATTAATTATTGTAATAACTTATACAACTGTTTCCTACATACTATACTATATAGTCTATACATACAGAAACTTCGACCCGGATTGAGCCTTTCCAAAGCTCTAAGGCTGTATAGGTAGTAATACAACTTTTTATGATGAGATATTATAGATATTAACAATTTTAGGAAGGTATTAATATTAGGCTTTTATTGTTTTTAAACCACTTTATAAAAAAATCTAGTTTCACAATTATTTAAATTTCAAAACATTATTTTTCTACTAAGATATAATATATTATACTATGGTATATCAATACATTTAAAAATTTATAAAAGATTTGGAAATATTATTTTTATGATTTTACATTTTAATTTTCTAATGGATACTACGACGAGTATTTTGTAAATAACTAGAAAACTAGATCGAAATAGCCCATCCCATTGTCTACTTTAGGCGTGTGCCTACTGCCTATCMAGTTTATACGGGTTTAAGCCTGTTGATAGTAATAAACTAATAAACAATATTTCATAGTACTCAAAACAAAAGCACATGCGTATTTAATTATATCGGRCATTAGTATGTTCCGTCCCCCGCCATCAGTGAAATAATAATTGGGATGCCCATGACAAAATAAAAATTGTATAGRGGGCATGGGCTCCGTTTCCCGATATACCACCCCCTTCTCCGCACAACCCTAATTATATCAATAGATAAAATTAAAAAAATAATATATTTAACGCTTTGATAGATATTACTCTACAACACATTAACATTAAATCATCCGGAGTCGGTAAATTGTGTCCCCCAAAATAGTTCATAGTTATATATTACGTAAATTGCGGCCCATGTACTTTTAAAATATACGTAAATTGCATCCCGGGTATATTTGAAATGTACGTAATTTGCGGCCTAGGATATTCCTATTTCTGATCGGTTGTACAATTTAAAGATAAGTATTAATCTTTGAATGATCGATTTAGATAATAATTATTATTATCCCTAATATAATATTATATTGCTAGCAGTCAGTGTGCATTTGATCGAAGACCTTATTTAATAACACATTTTTACTGACAAATTATTACTACTTGGCAATTGCTAATAATATATTTTTTTAATTAAAAACAAAAAAAAAACAGCAAAACCAATATTCTTAATCATACCAATATTGATACAATTATATTGACAGCCCTAAGTCTGAAAAATGAGAAGGAAAATACTGATTTTAATATTATTGATAAAAAATATTTGGGTACCTGGGTAATAAAAATTATACCCAGGCCGCAATTTACGTATATATAAAATATAGCCAGGCCGCAATTTACGTATGTGCAAAATATGCCCGGGCCGTAATTTACGTAAAAAATTAAAAATGGGCCGCAATTTACAGCGACCCAAATTATCATATTTTTAGTGTCTTAGTGATATTGGTATACCCCATCAATTATGATTGTTTTTTATAAATTTGTTTACTATAATATTGTTATATGTTTACATTTCAGAAAGTAATGAATTGGTCRTCATTATTTTTGGTGTTGATTTAAATTATGCACCTAAACATTCATCTATATTCGAAGAAGTTGCTTTAAAAGTTTCTGAACTTTATCCAGATCCTGGGAAAGTTATTTTTGGAAATGGACTCAATTATCACGATTCATCTAATTATTGTAAGTATATAATACACTTTATTTAATTTTTGATTTAGAATAGTAAATTACTTATTTGGTAAAGAGTACAATTATAAATTAAATAAACTTAATAATAATATTTAAYGAGGAAGCTGAAAAAAACAAATTAAAAAACTGATTAGTGCTACAATAAAATGCAAATATTATTTAACCAATATTGCATGGTAAAATAAAAATAAAATAGAAATCTTCGATTTGTATCCTAATTTGTTGGACCAGCGTAAAAATAAATCAGGTAACTGCTTTTAGGATGTAGGTAAAAGTACTAAAATCATTATTTATAGTGGTTGTACTATGGAAAGTGAGTTGATGTATCTGATAAATGATAAGGTACCTATATATTTATTGCCATGTTTGAAGTTGAGTTACAAAAATTCTAATAGGAGTACTTAAGTCTCTACAGAATCTACAGTCTCTTGATTATTGAAGTATACATTAAAAGTATTCTCCAAGACATTTTCATGATGAAAAAACACTTAATAGTTTAGCCTATTATAAAAGATATAAAAGGGTGGCATACTTGCAAGGTTTTATTCATGTGTAATGATTGTTCCGTAGATTAGTYATAACTCATAAGGTATCCGTGAGTTATGCTGATGTGGCCTATTCGTAGGTGGACGAGAATTACCTAGTCCCTTCTGAACATCTCGAATGGTTTGGGATTAATAAGTATTATTTTTTTTAATTGATAACTATTTCTATATTATAGTTATACATCGAATTTTATAACAACAAAGAATTATTTGAAAATAGATAATGTGATATGGCCCTTTGATTATTTCTTATTCTATTTATATAAGTATAATAATAGTTTATGAAGGTGTATCTTAAAAAACAACAATTAATATTTTATAGGGATTGAATATTACTCACAGAGTGAACATAATATCTATTTTAATATAAAACCAAATGTGAGATTTTTCATAAATGGAAAGCTAGCTACAAAGTGTTTCTCCAGTGACATGACAGTTTCAAATTTAGTATCTTACATTCAAACTCTATTGGATGATTMTATCCAAGAAATATCTAATATATGTATGAATAATAATCCTACAAAAGTAAGTTGATTCGTTTTTTATTTAAATTATATTCATTGTGGTTATTAATTTTTATGTTATTTTTATTTTTAATACTGATCAAGGCATGTGAAAAAGTTATAATTGGGTACTTCAAAAATAAAAACACACCTGATTATCAAATATTTAAGAAGTTATCAATGGCTTTTATGGATAATTGTCAGTTTTATGCTGGATTTGGGTAAATAACTATTTTAAGTTTTTGTAGTTACTAAGCATTAACTAATAAGAAATTACTAGATTTATATGTATACATTTTTTTGTAACAGAGAAGAATATTGTACTACGTACCCTGATAGAGATCATAACAAATCATTAATTATATTCAAGATCTCTAACCAACCATCTCCAGAATTTGAACAAGAAATATTTGAAGGGAATTTATTTGATTTCGGATCACTTTATAATTGGGCAAAAAAAAATGTGTTATATTCAACGAGTGAAATTACATTTGATAATTCTGAAGAGAYACAAAAAGATCATAAAGTTTCTATTATTCTGTTTTATAATCCTGATGATCTTGAACCAGTCAAACGGTTCAAGGATAATATTAGAACGGATTTAAAAGAATATTGCATTAGTTATTTCAGTTCCAGAGGTAACGATGTTAGACTTGTTATACTTAAAATACACCATTGCGCGACCTAGATTCGTATTAATAACTACATTTAATTTTTATTGATTTAGTATTAAAAATTATGAACAATAATAATAACATTAAGAACAATATTGATATTTCATAATAATCAATTTAACGATAAACAAATACGGAAATAATAAACAATTAAACGGACTCTTAATTTTTATATATATTATTTTATATTTTAAATTTAAATCAATAACTGATTATTTTGAAGCAAATTTACATTTTCGGATGATATGGAAGTTCTTTTTTGGGTGACTATGTTAACAGTTGTTGAAAAACAACGTTCATCACTAACTGATGTAATAAAAATTCCGTAATTTTTTAATAAGATTAGTAATTACCTATTGCCGGATACTTTGCATCGTGTGTCTTCCATAGATTTGACATAAATTATTGTTCTATTCTTAAGACTTTTTATGTTTACGAGTATTACAGTTGGTAGTTAATATATCCTAATTTATTTTATAATTATTTCAGAACAAATTAATTTTTTAACAGCAAATGGTGTGAGATTTTCAAAAAAGTTACAAGAAATTGAAAAATATCAAACTGATTTACCATTTCTACTTTTGGTTCACCGTGATGCAATTTATCAGTTTCCAGAAAATTTTGATGTCAATAGCATGCTGTCTTATCAGCAACTGAAATCATTAATAAAAATTTATTTTTCAAATTTTGATTATTACCATTGTTTTAATGTTCAAATTGATAAAAGTGCTGCTATACACCCCATTTATCAATTTAATTTATTTTGTGAATTTTCCGACAAACCTCCTGTAGATATTGCAGCTGATAATTTTTGTATTAGTCTATTTGATGATGAGTAAAATGTATCTGTATGTAAATAATTTCAGCACAATAGGGAAATGTAAGAATAAGAGCCCCAAAAGGAATATTGTACAAAACAAAATCATATAATATTTGCACTTACTGATACATAAATGTGCAAAAAAAACTTTCATTTATTGTTTATTATTATCAAATTATTATTTGTGTGATTAATTTACAGTTATTGTTTTTATTATTTTTAATAATCGTCAAATATATCACATATTTATAAAATAATTGATGTATAATGGCGTTGTTTCATTGTTCGAACTTTTTAAAAAAAAATTTGTTCAAATAACTTAAGTATAACTGTGTGTAAGATTGTTCAAAACATAGACTGTTGAAGTTTCAATTGAATTATGCTCTGACAACAATAGTTCACGATTTTTAAGTTTTAATTGATTTCTGAATGAGAGTATAATATGTTATGTACCTAATATTAAAACAGCCAATAGGGATTTGAATTTGAATCACAGGATGAATGTTAGATTTTTATAAACTGGTTTTAAATAGTTAATCATATCATAACATATTTTAATAAGTAGGTAGGTAATAACTGATAAATGACAGTGGTTGAATTGGAAAAATAAATAAAGGTGGACTCTAAATGAAGTTGAACAATTAAGCAAATTATTTTAATAGTAACCCTATATTCCTTGATGAATATAATAAAGGGGTACGCTATAATTTGAAGAAAAATGAAGAGTAGCTCAGTCCCCCTGCGTCCTCCCCCAATTCAACCACTGAATTAAATTATCATCGCTAAGAAGTCAGCATACGAGTTGATTCCCGGGTATAAGATGYWKACMTATGCAGACACCATTGAGTTGATTCCCGTGTCATTAAATATTATTTTTAATATGTAGTCAAATATTCAGTCTATTAGCGTGACTCAATAAACACCTCGAGAATTTAGCAGACAAGTTTCTCAAAAAATGCTGTTCTTTTTAGTTTTTTAATAAAAAATTATTAGCATGAAAATGTTGTAAATTGGTAAAAATGTATAACGCATTTTTTTCAAAAATTGGTATCTGGTAATGCGATTACCGGTATACCATGACAACACTTCTCTCAAAAAAGTGACATTCAAAATCATTATGGTCTTGCAGTCTATTGATATATACAACAWTAGAGAATCAACTCGTCCATACTTAATAATGATCCAGGAATCAACTTTATTTATTTTTATTTTTTATTTATTATTATTATTAAATAAAATTTWACTGGCGTAAGTCTTCTTAACTTATTTTTGAATAAATTCAATTTTTTTTTTGACACTTGGACAATAGATAACAATTAAAAAATATATATGCATATTTGTTTTTTATTTTTAGAACTTTCAGTATAACTATTATAGTTCAACAATTACAATATTGATAGATACAGGAATAAAATAAGTAATAATTGGTAATTAATAATAATGAGCATATGATATAATGATAGATAAGTTAATGGTGTCAGGTAAGAATAAACAGAACGGAATATTAGTGTATATAGTAACAGAAATAATATTAAAAGTAAATTTCATAATTATAATTAATTGGTTGTTCTTATTATTATTTATTATAGCCTAAAGAAAAGAATTAATTATGGAGGTTAAATCGGATACGAATTTTGATAGAGCTAATTTTAAATTTGAGTTTTTCCGGATTGATGTTCGGTTTTGAACCAGAAGTAGCACTGCATATGGCGGGGTGGATTGAGAGGGGTCAATGGGGAGGGACTCGGAGGAGATAAGTTTTTTTTGTATATGTGATATTTTTTTGGAGTTTGAAGACTTGATTTTGTAGTGATTTAGAATGTTTTGGTAGAACTGGTACCCCTTGAAGCTGGCCGTATGATTTTCGGAACAGTGGACGCATTTAGCTGGGCTGGAGTGATCCTTGGTGCAGTTATCTGAATCATGAGCCTCGCCGCATTTGACACAACGCGATGATGGCAGTAATTATACGTGTGACCATAGTCTTGACAATTGAAACATTGCAGCGGTCCGTGTGTCGTTTTATTCGGTTTTTCAATCACTACTTTCGTGTTTAGTAATGAAGTGATGTTGTAGATATGTTTATTATTAACATTGGGTTCGATATTGACAAATAGATAGGGAGAGGACGTTTATTTTTACTAATATTGTGGACTTGCCTCACTATGTGCCCATTTTCTAACAATGCGGACGAAATGTCAGCACTGAGAGTAGAATGATGGAGGTTTCTGATAACGATCCTAAAAGGATGTTTAGARCGAGGACGAAAAGAATAGAAACTGGCGTTAGTTTCTTACAAAAAATTTGCCAATACATTGAAATTTTCGTGATCCATTTGGATGGACGATAAGATATGAAGGAGTGGACTTACATGTAAACCCCTTGGGTCTGACGCTCTTTATTAATACACCCTTGAACGTGGAAAAGTTATTGATGTTCCTGATGTAAAAAGGTGGAGTCAAGGACTCAGCCTGATCAAAAGGGGAAGATGAAGGTACACCAGTGACTTCGAGGGAAGATTGCGCCGCATCAAACACAGAGACATTGTTAGTGTCGATTGAGGCGAGAACAGCGAAATGGTTTGGTGAGGTGAAAATTTTGGTCTTTTTCCCCTCATGAAGAGAAGAATTTGTAGAAGAACTGGACGATATTTTTTTTGTTGATGACATAGGCGTACCAGGGGGACTTTTACCGGAACGAATCATAATAAGATATACGTTGAAAACGAAAACGCAATTTACGTAATTAAAATACAGATAACGGAGTGAACATAAAAGCATAATATGTTCACGGTGAACGTTATCGCCAGACTGAAATATATATATATATACATGAAAATTATTAAATAAGGTCGTATGGGTGTCTAGTGTCCACGCTTGAGTGGGCGTACAGAAGGCGGGTTATTTAGTCTATACAATTTCACACTGTGAGCAGAATTGATGTCGTCGAAGAAGTTTATTGCTAATTTTGTTATGTAGGACGTAAGTACTCAGTTGTTGTGGGTAGCTGGTAGTCTTTGTGAAGCGCATCATTACGTACAAACCGAGCAGCATATTGTAGCTTTGAAGGTGAAGGAATATCAAGTTCTTTGCGTGTTAACCAATATTTCATTGCTGCTAAAGCTCGAAATATCCCCCATCGCTGTTCCTACCAGCATATTCAGTTTCTATCATAGTAAAAAGACCGTCAGCATCGGAAGGTGGACAATCGACCGACAACTAAAATATCGACAAGACAATCAACCGACAAGGCCAATGACCGACAACCAAAATACCGACATTAATATTATATGTACATAGTAATTTAATTTCAGTTATTTTAAAAATATTTTTATAAATATTGTATAATAATAATAATGATAATAATTGTATAATTTAAAAATTTAAAAAATAATTCGTAATATAATAAAAAAATTATTGTAAAGACTAAAAATAATGTATAAATRTATGCGATTATAGAGTGTACATCACATGGTTACGTTGTGAGCAATACCCCGAAGATACTCCAGACGTGTTATACCTTCACGATTGTTAAAAGCAGTCTTCAAACGCTGTTCACGTTTTTGCTGAAGATTAATATGCGATAAAATGTTTCGATTAGATAAAAACATTAAACGTATCTGGATGGCTTATCCATTTTATGACCAACTTATTTCTATAACGTTCTAATATCCGATAATTTTGGTTTAAACTGCTTTATTTTATTAAAAGAGACATGTGCCAATTTTCACAACTTTCAGCTATATATATATATATATGACATAGGTTCATATATATTAATACAATAATACGTTTATAATTAAAATAAAGTATATTATAATAAACAATGCAATGAACGTTACCTTAATGTGATTAATATCCGTTCTTCTGGACTCACACATTCTCTCAGGTGAGTGTTCTGCTGATGAACGGCAGGAGAAATAATTATTACAAGTTATTTATGGGACTCTCTAGACATCCTATAAAATGCCAAAAATTTTGCATCGGTTTCTTGTAGTTCTCTGGCCGCTACAATAGTTCGGCAGTTGATATTTTTCTCAATATAAGGATGAACCCAATATTTCCTTTTCTTTTTTTGTTTGCATCCWTTTGTACCAATAGTACATAACAATATCTTCTTCATCACTCGAACTAGAAATTTTTTTTTTTTGTCAATTGAAAAAAAATTGAAAACAGATCAAAACAAGTCTCGCTATTGAATATCGTATCGTGTTGGACCTCAAATCGCACAAATCGCACGAACCGCACTTATTGTTGGTCAATCGCGTAGTGTACGGAAGACCATTACGGAAGATTACCAAACAAACTATTTTGATTTATTTGCGTTAAAAGCGATTTATTGTAAAACACAAAACGCTAAACGCTYCCAGTGTGGCCATATCATAGTTATTCTACATAGTTTTGAAAAAATCTTTAAATCGCTCGCATCGCAAATTGCGCTCAGTGTGGCCATACCTTAATGCGAATTATTTGATCTATTATATTGATCGTTGATCAAAATTGATCAAAATTGTTCATTTGGAGAACAGAAATATACGAAACTGAGTCGACAGTACCAGGGTTACATGTGGTAATCGCTACTTGTACAGTTATACATCGTCGACACGCGATGAGCATCGTCCACTGCGGCGGCAGCATAGTATCTACTTGTTCGACAACCATCACGATCATAGCATACGCTCCTGGTACATGTAGGTATAATAATCTTTCGCGTTATAAACGGTTAATACGGCCGTTAAACCGTCTCTGATTAAAGTTAATCGGAGTTTAATCGGCCGAATTTGAACGGTTAAATATCTGTTATCAGCTGATTAAGCGTAATCGAAGTTTAACCGTAGACGGTACAACTGGCCCTAATACTATTAATATATTATTATTTATTTATTGTTATTATTTTTTATCATAAAACAATATAAAATATATGTTTAGTTTAGTTATAAATTATAATAATAAATATATAAATATAAAAATATAAATTATATAATATTTATTGCAAAATAACATAACAATCTTGTTTTATAATAATTAATTACTTAAAGTACAAAATATTGGTAGAAATGGATGTCCATATAATGTATTTTCGTCAAAATTCTCTATCTGAACGAATTTTAAAATCTGGATATCCAGTTCATGAATCATGAAATAAGTGATTTCACTAGGTGGATGCGACATATAATATTAAACGGGCTGCCATGTCGGTATGCGACTATCAATGTAATATTATTTGGTATCGGATGGACTATGATCGTATATACTTAAATATAAGACGTATATTATTATATATATATATACATGTGTATATACGCACATATGTTCAATTAGTATTGTGCCTTTATAATAATAATTAATAATATATAATAAATAATAAYTAATGTATAATATTTTTTTTCTAATTTTTTTACGTACTCGTTGGGGATAAAAAAAAATCACGTCATTGCAGAATCAATTCTTCGATCAAAATCAAAAACAATTTCGTACACGCTCGTTTATATTGCGGACTATCTGCAATATAATATTACATTATATATTCGCAATTTCAAGACACCGAAGAAATTACAACAAAAGGACAAAACGTGATGACTATATTATTTTCGAAGACTATCGCTTTAAAACTCCAGTCAATAATAAAATGTGTTCAAACAATTCGTAGGAATTGCTATATCAGTACTTTTTTTGTGTAGTATCGCAACTGAGTTCGGATAGGATAACTAGTATTTACTTGTTTACCACCAAAATGCTCAACACGAAACTATTACATCCACCTCGTTGCATTGTTTATGGTACAATAATTTTTATCAGAAAATTGTGAAAAAATGATCAATAAATACATATTATACATAATAGTAAGTTCTCAAAGGAAAAATATACTATGACATTGTTCTACATACATTTTACAGATCTGTAAAATTCCTCAAGGGATTTTTACCGTTGTTAAAGTCGAGTGTCCCTCATTTGTAATTTGTTTTTACATGCGTGATACCTAGGTAACTCTAATTTAGTTTTTKCACACATTTTGATAAGTAATTAAAAATAATATTTTGATATTATTTAGTATGGTTTAAATTTTAGAATAATATATTTATGTATCTAACTTAATAGTTATATAACTATTATTAATTAATATTGGTATGTAAACTTTTCTGGAAAATATAATAAGTAGATAAAAAAAAACACGAAAAACATATTAATTTACAGATTTTTTCGTAAATTTACATAGATTTGTCTATTTTTAATATTTTTTAAATTTCATATTTCTAATAAAGATTAATATTGCTGAAGAACATGACGTTTTTTGAATTTCAAAACAATGTATGAATCCATTTCTATTACCATCCAACTGGTATTCTGTTGGAACATCTACCAACAGTATTAATTTACCTAAGGTATAGCCGGTATAGGTAAATATAGTTTTTACAAATATTAGCCTTAGCCTAATCTAATCTAATTGCCAGATTTATATTCTCTTAAAACACCTAAGATTTTATAAAAAATCTTCAACAATTTTTAGAAAAATTAGAAAAATACGCTAAAATGATGAATAAACCTCATTATAATATGCATTGTTATTTATTTTATATTGTTTAAAATAATGACTTACATAATGGAATAATTGCACTATACTAACAGTTAAAATAGTTTCATTTGTTTTGAACGGTTCTATTCATTGTTTTAATCATTTGAAATTAATCGAATTTTTTTATTTTATGAATTTTAAAATCTTCAAAACAYACAATTGAAAAACTRCATTAGTCATTGTCAGTATTTCCGTTATCACCATCTGTGGTAACGAACGAAAAGATTGAATCTATTTGACTACCCGTCAGCATGCGTTGCCAGTTAATAATTGGCTTAGAAGAGAAATTTGATTCGCCATATTTTTTTTAGTCTTATAGCCGTTATACCTAGGGGCTATCTGCTCAGTCAACTAAAAACAATTTTGTAATGCATACCTTAAGGATCATTATCAACCGATGCGCAAAGCCCAGCCCATCTTAGCTTCTGAGATTTACGGATCAAAAGTGCGTAGACCTTGGAGTGCGACTCTAATTGCGATCTTTAAGCTGAGTTACGCACTCCATACCTACTGAAGTGAAATCTTAAAAATAACTTTACTTCATATGCCTTTTGTTGTTGCCTTTGCCTGGCCTCGAGTACAGTAGGTATACTAAAATATGTAACACACCAATAAAATTTAGAGGTGTTATGTTCAATGTTGTGTAATAAGAAACCAATTAGACAAGTATGAATTAATGTATTATACGCAAACTAAAGTCTAAAATAGTGTACTA